TGCGATTGTTGAGAAATCCTTAATAAATCTCCTAAAGTACACGCAAAGTCCCAAAAAACGTTGAACTGCTTAAATTTTATCTGGTATCGGAAAATTGTTTATCGCCTCCGAACCTTTTGCATCGGCTTTCCTGCCGTCTTCGTAGACTTCGAACCTTAAATATTTTATATGGTCTTGCATAAAATTACATTTATCCAGCCTCAACTCTAACTTATTGTCTACTAAACGCTTAAACACTACCTTTAGGGTTTCTAAGTGCTCGTGAGTATTCCTGCCGGCAATCATAATAACATCCATGTATACAATTATATTATCCTTATCGTGTCCGAAAAGATGTTATTAATAAATTTTTGAAATTCTTGAGAGGCCGTTTTCAATCCCATGGGCATTCTTCAAAATTCAAATTGTCCTAAAAGGGTCACGAAAGATGTGTTTAATTGATTCCTTCTCAGTAAAAACGTGAAAATAGCCGTTTTTCATATCAAGTTTAGTAAATATGGTTTTACCTGCAAGCCTATCTAACACGTCGATTAAAGGCAATGGATAATTGTCTTTAATCGTGATCTTTTTTAGACTTCTGAAGGCAATAAACATTCTCAAATCATCGGTGTGCTTCTTAACTAAAACGATTGTAGAAGCATATTATTAGCTACTGGGTTGGATGTTCCATTTCTAAGGTATTCGTCTAACATTATTTGTAATTTCTCTTTTCTGTGTACGATAATCGCCTTGGCAAGCAACTAAGTGGCTTCGCTTTCTCGATTGTAATCTATATTTCGTATCTAATTTTAGGGCTATCTAGTCTCTTTGCCTTTGTGTATGTAGCATCTAGCATCTGTATAAATTTGTTTCTTAATGCATACTCTACCTGCTTATCAATGTTATAAACCTTTTCACTAACTTCTGTATCTATATCATTTTAATTAAAAATCCTATTCTAAAATTTTAAAATCCTCTCTATTAATTGTGTCCACCTCTGTTCCTTTCTCCTTTTTCTCCTTTTCTAACGATTTATCTAACAGTTTTTTATCTAACGATCTACGACCACACAGTTCTCTGTTATTAATTCGTAACCTAACAATTTGTCGTTGACTGCTAGCAATTTATCTTCTAACAACATGTTTCTTAACAATTTATCGTCTAACAATTTATATTCCAACAATTTATTTTTCGTTAATTTTTCTGCTAAGTCTTGGGCATGACGGACATTGCCGTTGTGTCTGTAGTTGTTGTTATTATTATTATTATTATTTGAGGCGTTGTTTCCATTATTGTAATCTCCGTTTAGGCGGTTGTTACCTCTATAGTTTCCACGTCCTCTATTCTTGTAATTATTGTTGTTATTATTTTTATAATTGTAATTATAACCACGAGAGTTTTCTCTGCCTCGGTAATTACCACGATAGTTATGTAGGAGCCGTTACAATACAAAAGTTTTTAGCTTCAGCAAGTCCAAAACACGTCTACTTTACTCGCTTCTCTGCTAAGGTCTGACTCCAAGATCTTTTACAATTGTCTAACACTCTTCTTCTTCTTATTTCTTATTCTTAGTTATCGAACAATACCTAACAGCTACCTATGGATAGGACGTGCAGCTTCACTGTTGTGTTGCTAGCAGCCTGCTACAGTTATTACAATACAAGAATACAATACCGAGCATGCATTGCCTGTCATAACTATACTGTATTGGATATATTTTGTGCATCGTTTTGAAAGTGCCTGCGTAAAGTATTGCTTTTAGTTTGTCATGCTCACAATTTTTGATCATGACTGAAATGGCTTCTTTGGTACAGAACGTATCAGCATGTTCTGCCTTTCGTCCTTCATCGATATAAGAAGATTCCAAATTATCGATTTAGTTTGCGAGTTGTGTGGCTAATTTACATTTTTGGTAGAAATAAGCCGTTTTTGCCACTACTACATCGGAAAATCGCCGAAAATCATAGTCTGCAATTTAGATAGCATCGCGTTTATTGTGATTTCATCTTGTATTTTATAAAGAGTTGAACCAACTATTTTGGATTTTATTACTTCAATTACAATTTCTTCGTATGGACCTTTTGTTAGGTTTATGCATTATATTCCAGTAATAAATCTTTGTAGATGGATTTTATTCCATCGATTTCTGGTGTGGCCTGTACAATTTCTTTTATGTAAGCCCTTGAGGCTGCAGAAATGTCTTCCATCGTAATAGGTTTTAATTCTATTACACTGGTGTTTGCTTCAGAATCAGAACACTCTGACAATTCAGGTAATGCAATTATCGCTGAAGTTGTAAGATTATGTATGTCTTTAACTTCTAGTTCCATGTCAGTGACTGTATCAGATTCACTTTCTTTCTTTTCTTTATCTTCAGGCTGTTTAGCTGTTTCGATTGTTAAAGCTGTATTCAGTATAGTTGGAATCGATTTATCCAAATTATTCTTTACTCTTATCGCAACTTAATTTATTCGAAATTTGGTTAAGACCTTTGAGGCCTGTGACCAATGTTGATTGGTAATCTTTCTCTATGGTCGAATATAATGTTCGTACTTCATTTAAAAACTTTACTTATATATTTGCGTGTTTGTTTATTGTACTTTGCTGTGTTTCTTTGTATTGCGTTACACATTTATATGGTTTGTCAAATTTTGATCTTATTTCTTTTATTTGCGGACAATTTTGTGTGTTATTATTTGATTTGGACAATATCATTTCATTCATGGCTCCAATGAATGTTATCAATTGATACATTAATGTAACGTCTCGCATCTTTTTATACCCTGAACCCATTAAAAATGGATATAGGGCTATATTGTATATGTGCAAAATCCAAATGTATGTAACAGGCAGAAGGAAACATCTCCGACCCCATAAAATACATATATTCTTGATCAGCATCAAGAGGCGAGTCGATCTAGCCATGAACGCCTGTCTATCCGTCCGTCTGTCTGTCCGTCCGTCCGTATGTATGAACGCAAGTAACTCAGAACCTATAAGAATTAGAGACTTGAAATGTAGGTGCTCCTAGTGCCTGCGCAGATCGAGTTTGTTTCCGATAATCGATAAGTTTTTCCGTTTCCAAGCAATCGATATCGATATCCTGTTTGTTGGGCAATTTTGGTAAAAACTAAGAGCTAGAGTCACCAAACTTGACATATAGCTTCTAAAATAGAATATATATATGAATTTGATGTTGGAAGAAGAGGGTTCAGGGTATCCCCTAGTCGGGAGCTCCCGACTAGAACCTCTTACCTCTTTTTCTTTTAATAATTTTATTTTATTTTACACACATAGTGAGGAAAAATTGAGCTTGTAATATAAATGTTAAAATCCACAGAGCTTGAATGTCCTCTGTGTGATCAACTATTTTTACTTTATTGACCACAAAGGCTGTATTATCTTTTGTTTGACTATCATCTGAGCCACACGAACCCATTTTCAAATTTATTATATTCTTAGAACTGGTTACAAATATATATTCTCTTTAATTGTGTCTTGCATTAATTTTTGTTAAAGCAATTTTTTTTTCACAATCTGGATGTTTCTATTTAACATTTGCCTACCTATGTTTTGGTATAGCTTAACGGGCTACATTTCTAATCGGGCAGAATTGATTTCGCTCAATTTTACAAAATTTATTTATATGTTTGGTGTATGTAAGTTATAAAAGTTTAGCTTAATCTGCTGCTCAACATCTACATTAGCTCTGCGTCGCCGGATGTGGCACGCTGATGCTCCCTCAATTATTATTATTATTTTTATTATTATTATTATTCATATTATTATTATTATTATTATCCATATTATTATTAATATTATTATTATTATTATTACTATTATTATTATTTTTCATATTATTATTATTATTATTTGAGACGTTGCTTCCATTTTTGTAATCTCCGTTTTGGCAGTTGTGAGACGGCCACTAAGGTAGCCACCCCACAGTTCATAATTATAATAAAAGGGTATAAGCATTGTATAGTATATAAGCATTGTATTAGTAATAAGAACAGTTAAGGCAAGGTGCTAATGTATTGAAGCTACTTAAGGTGATGGAGCCTAGTTTGAATTGAGTTTGAACTTAACCGCCGGCCGTCGCAGGAACCTTGCGTTGCTGATTTGTTGCTCAACACCGCGTTCGAGAGCACAACTACAATTCAGTGGCGAAGGGCAAGGTGTAGTTGCGAAAGCTTGCGGGGAACTCGAGCGGCCGAGGCAAGCGCCCTGCTCGCTAGCGAGCGTGCTGGCACTTTTAGAAAGACTATCAGGATAAGTAGACCTGCAGCGAAGAGCAGTGTGAGCGACGAAGTGCAAAGAGTGCAGCGGAGCGCTAGGAGCGGCCCCCCACGCGATTTTGTCTAATATCATCTAAGTTTCGCTCGTCTGCGGCGTCTAATATTTTGGTTTCCTCTAACTTTTTACTTAGTTCGTCAATAATTATTCCTTTTTGTGGTAACCCAAATAACATTGTGCTAAGAAAAAACCTGGTGCTACTATACTGAGTGTTCAAAGTGTATGAGTATTCAAAGTGTATTCTACTTTTTAGATGATAATATCCCATGGCTGTCCCTTTTCAGGTTCGGTTAGTTTCGCAATAATTGGTCCTAAACTTCTTTTAATTCGCTCTTCTTGTCCATTGGCTTGCCTGTGCCTATATTAATGTTTCACGTTTAATTTTTCTACAAATTGTTCAAATTCGGCCGATGTGAAACAGCTTCCTCGATCAGATATTATGCATTTGGCCTACCGTAGGCTCAAAAGTAATCGTTCAATGCGCCGATAACTTCATTGCTGTTTCATGTCTTTGTTGTATATAATCTAACAAATTTTGTGAACCCATCTACATCTACAAATATATATTTCTTTGCTCTGCTGTTGTCTACTGGTCCGTAATGATCTACATGAACTAAGTCAAAAGATTTGTTGCCGTTTGGTATGCTGTGTAATAGCCCATCTTTTTTTCCTGTCTTAGGTGAAAATGATATGCACCATAAACAGTTGTTAGGGAACTGCTTGTTTCTCAGTGGGCCGCGCCGGCTGGCTCATCGGATTCTCTGGGTGTGGTCCCATCCCTGGCCCGCAGTCCGCACAATCGATAACAACAAAGCTACACGTCTGTAGCAAAACAGACTCACACAACACTACTCAAAATGAACCGCATAATCGATAACAAATATTCGGAACTACTAACTCATGAACAAAATACACAGCTGTAACAACTATGAAAATGTAAACAACAAAGGTAAGACACTCAATATAAATTAACAAAAAAAACACTATTTATCCACCTTACTCTTCCAGATCGGGCCCCGGTTCCGGACCCAGCGTACCCGCCCTACCATGAGACGATCACCTCCACTCGTCTCCCTCATTTTGGCCACCAAATGGCCTATATTAGCCCGTGTCGGCCATAATGCCCACTCTCCCCAGCAATATTATTTTAGCCGGACATGATTTCTTTCAATAGGTGCGTATAATTGGTTGCGTTTTCTTAAAATGTATAACAATCATAATCATTGCTTATGGCATTTATCTTGCAGCTGTTTAGGATCTCATGCAAGCGGATAATTCATTAACTTCACAGGTGCGTATTACTGCTGCATATATTTATACTAATTGACACAGCGCATTAATTCCTAAATTTTTCTCTTATCTTATAGAATTAATTTTTTTTATTTTTTTACAACACTGAATGGAACAGGCGACGAAACACTACAAGGATATTGCTAGTCGCCGCAAAAGAAACGCGCAATGAGGCACTTTAGAGGCAATCGTTGCCCCGATTTAGGAACAATGGCCCGCACACTTACTTAAAACTGGGTATGTCACGTATTGTGTATTGTATGTATTAAATCGCTTAATTCTACCTTACCCTACCTAAAGAGCTCTCTGGGGGTGGTAAGGGGCGATATAAATGCGTAAATTCAAATTAGGTAAGTATGTGAGCATAGTTCGCGCAAGGGTTAATTTTAGATTTTTTTTTTTATATTTTACAGGCGCAGATGCATCACCGTTGGAGTTTTCCTCACCGTTCGCACTCTAAAGTGAAGCTCGGCGTAAGTGCCTATGTATGTATGAATATATTTTATAAATACAAATTAACCGAATTTAACGATAAAAAAAAATCTACTCCTTTTCAGGGAGTGCAATTAGGAGTCTTCTTCTGACTCTGCCAGGGGCTCGACCGAGGATGGGCAAAACAATGGAACGGACTCACTCGGTGGATGTGGGCGGGGTCTCGCCTGTGGCCGCTTCTTCGTTGTTGGAGCCCGGTCGTTGGTGGCTCGTCTCGTCGCCTTCACGTTTGCGCCGACGCTTGCTGGCGGCGTCGCGGATATGGCTGGTTTGCGCCGCTGCACTGAATCCTGGCCTTGAATATTTCGTGGGCCTCTCTGGTGCGCGAGCTGGTCTCCTTGGTGCCGGAGCCGTTAATTTTTGGCTTATTTGGTTCGTCTCTCGTCGCACTTAAATTTTTAAGTCTCTTTTAATTTTTTTATTATATTTTCTTTGTGATTCGAGCGGTTTGATTTATATAAATTTATTACATGGCAAAGAACACAAAAACAAAACTTTTATTCGTCTGTTAAGCCATTGGTATTATGTGCCGGCTTAATTTTTCAGAAGGGAAAAAATTTTACTCTGTCAAGCAGAAATGCAATGTCCAACTTTTTTGCTCACTTCGAGCTGGCACGCCCGCCGTTAACCGCTGAACAAATCGAACTCCTCCACATTTTTGGCAGCCACACCATCGGTGCCGAATTTCGGCACACGCATACATTTGCGAGGCGGGCACCGTTGCTGCTCATCTGCACAGCTGCATTTTTTTGGGTCAACGGCCCAAATGAAGGCCAAGGGCATATCCAAGGGCATGCGATCCACTCTCCTCGTATTCCCTTTAAGAGCGAAACGGGCGGCCAATAGCAATCGTCGCTTTTGGCGCCGTGGATCGCATGTCTGGCGTTGCCACCCTTCAAAATTTTGGGCTCCGCCGTGGGCCCAGCTTCACCCCGCATACTCCGACCATATGCCAAAAAGATATCGGCGTGGCCGATAATATCGCACGCAACCAACTGAGTAACCCTCGGTGCTGCCGATAACGTCAAATGCAACATCACCACGCAGATTATTGTAACGACATGAAGGACAGTTACAAGGAATCTGCGTACGCATTTCATGGATTGACCCAGCCGGCTAATAACGATGCCCAACGTAGGCCACACCCACGACAAGTAATCTATATTTTTTTTTGCTGACCCAAAAAAAAAGGGGGGACTGGCGCTGCCGCCGCCGTTGCCTGGCAAGGAGGTGAGCAAATTACGATTATGTTCGTATATCTTTTGCATGGAAGACGCCTAGCACGCGTCCCTGGAGATCTTCCAACTCGTAGGCGTTGGTTCCCACGGCTCGGACGACGCGGCTCTTCAAGAACTTCCGGGCGAACTTGGCATTGAAGGCTTTGCCGAAGCTGCTTAGTGCGAAGTTGCGCCTCCACACTTCCTGTCCCGGTTCCAGATGGAGCTGTCGCGCGCGGTGGTCGTACCGTTGGCGACTTCGCTCGTATGCGGTGTGCAGGTGGTCCTTGACTTGGCTTCGGATTACAGCCAGTCTGTCCTTTGCGTCAAGGTCAGAAATACTGTGGTCGGCCAATGATCTCAGCTTCCTGGCCAGTTTGTAACTGGAACCATTCAGGTACATCTGCTGTCCAAAGACCGCGAAGAACGGAGTGACTCCCGTAGCGCTGTGGACCGCATTCCGGATCGCCACTTCCACCTCTGGTAGGTACGCGTCCCATTCCCGATGATCCTGACCCAGGTAGGTTCGGATTGCCGACAGCACTGTGCGGTTCACGCGTTCGGCGGCGTTGCTCTGAGGCGAATACACTGGTGTGCGCAGGTGAGTAATGCCAAACGCCTGGACCATCGCATCGAACGACTTTGACACGAATTGTCGTCCATTATCCGAATGGATCACTTCCGGCACGCCAAATTTGAAGAACACCTCATGCACTAGGAAGTTCACGACATCCGCCGCGGTGGCTTCCCTCATGGCCTTCAGGAAGGTAAACTTCGAGAAGTGGTCTACGACGACGAATATCCACGCATGCCCTCGTTTCGACCGTGGATACTTCCCCAAGAAGTCGATATATAGCTTCTGGAAGGGGCGGTCGGTGCGCACTTCTTCCCCAATTCCGACCTGCATTCGGTAGTTCTGTGCCTTGGTCTCCTTGCATGTATCGCATTTCCGAACATAGTCCCTGACTTGTATGGCCATGTTGGGCCAATAATATTGCCTGCGCAGCGCGTGCAGCGTTTTCCTCATGCCTCCATGAGCTGACGTCTCGTCCGCGTGTGCTTGTTGGATGAGTCCTGCCGTCAGCGACTCCGGCACCCAGAGCTTCCAACTTGTGCCTTCGACCTCATCCTCCAAGCTCTCGTGCACGGTCCTCTTGAACAGAAGTCCGTCCTGCACTCTAAGGTCCGGCAACTTCCCTTGTTGGCTCATCACCTCTCTTCTCAGCTCTCGATATTCGGTGCTCTCGAACTCCGGGGTCTGAAATCCCAACAGATCTTCCGGGGTCAGTTCGACCTCTTCCACGCTTCGGGACAATGTGTCTGCGACGACGTTGTCGGCTCCCTTGCGGTACTGCATGGAGAAAGGGAACGCTTGCAGTTCGAGGGACCACCTGGCTAATCTCCCGCTCAAGTCTTTGAGACTCATAAGCCACTGCAGACTCGCATGATCGGTGATTACCGTGAACGGCATCATCTCCACGTACGGCCGGAATCGATGTATGGCCAGTTTGGCGGCTAGGCATTCCTTCTCGGTCACCGAATAGTTGATCTGGTGCTTGTTGAGTTTGGCCGAGAAGAATGCGATCGGCCTTTCCTGTTGTTCGTCGTCTAGCTGGAACAACACGGCTCCTACTCCGTAGTGAGATGCGTCGCATTGGATGAAGAATGGTCTTCGAAAATCTGCGTGAACTAACACCGGGGCTGTGGTGAGGGCTAACTTTAAGCTCTCTATGGCTTCTATGGCCTCGTCGCTCAACACAAATCTACCCGTTCTCTTCTTAAGGGCATCAGTCAACGGTACCGATATCTCAGCGAAATTCTTTATGAATCGGCGGTACCACCCCGCCGTACCTAAGAAGCTTCGTAGTTCCTTGACCGTCCTCGGATTCGGGATGTTCCGGATCGCTTCTACCCTTCCCGGATCCATGCGCAGCGTCCCGCCGCCTATGATGAAACCCAGGTAGTTTAGGTTGCGGAAGCAGAATTTCGACTTCGCCATGCCTATGGTGAGGTTCGCGTTCCTCAGACACTCGGCCACCAATTCCAAGTATTTTAAGTGCGTTGGAAAATCTGCCGATATTATCAGCAAGTCGTCCAGGTATACGAATACGTTGGACCTCAGATTCGCCGGGATTACCTTGTCCATGAGCCTGCAAAGCTGTTGAGCGGCGTTGCAGAGCCCGAATGGCATGTGGCGGAACTGGTACAGCGGCCTCCCTGGTACAGTAAACGCCGTATACGCCCTGCTCTTCTCCTCCATCTCTATTTGCCAGAACGCGAACTTAAGGTCGACGCTAGAGATAAAATGAGTCTCGTCGATTCGCGATAGGATGCCCTCGATGCATGGAAGCGGGTACGCGTCTTTTACCGTTACACTGTTTAATTTCCTGGCGTCTAAGCAAAACCTGTTCTTCCCAGGCCTCATCACCACCGTCGTCCGGTTGCTCCAGGGGCTGTCACTCTCCTCGATGATGCCCAACTTTAGCATCTTATCCACCTCGGCCCACACGATCTCCTGTTTGGCCGGGGACAGCGGATAATGTCTGTCTTTCACGGGTTCTGCTCCCTCGATCAGCTGAATTCGGTGCTGCAGCAGGTGAGTTTTCCCTAGGCCATCCTTCTCAAATTGGAGAAATCTGCGCTTCACGCTTTCCAACTGACTCCTCTGATCGTTGTCCAGGTCCCACATTTCCGGATCCGTTACGCAGTCGTCGTCGTCCCGGTAATAAGCCACCTCTGGGTTCGCTACCGTTACCTCAGATGCCTCTGGTGGTGTTTCGGACTTTCTGGCCGGACCGAGCAGCTCTGGTGCGATCTCAAAGGCTCGCCAGAAGTCGATTCCCAGGTATAGTTCCTGTCGCAGGTCCGGGCACATGTAAAATACGATATCTTCCGTTCTATTCCCGTATTTCACAGGCAGAACAACGCGACCTAAAATTGGGCGATTGGCACCCGCCGCTGTCCTCACCATCGATTCGTATGGCCGCGCTTCCCATCCCAGTTTCTCCACTAACTCCCGGCATCCTTGTCCCAACAGACTGACTGAGGCCCCCGTGTCCAGCAACCCTTTCATTTTGGCTCCAGCGACCTCCACTTCGGCGAATACTCGTGGGTCTATACTCTCCTCCCGTCTCACCGCTTCGACGACCTGGCGCCTGGTAATCCTGCGTCTGCGGAAGCGCGCACGTGCCTTCACCATTCTCCGGGTGGCTAGCGTCATCCCCTCCAGCTGTCGCTCACCAAAAATTCTATTTCGGGCCGACATGTATGCCCGAACACGTTCTTCGTATGGTAAGCCCCTAAGTGTTCCTCCTTTGCTTATACTATTATTATAATTAGCCTTATCCTGATCCTTATTCCAAATCTCCGTCTCCTTTCCAATGATTATTGGCTCTGGTAGGTGCCCCTCTCCTGCTTTCCCGCGGTCGCCGTCCCGGAACGCGTCTGTCCCGCCATCACCGCGCTCCCTCTGGGGTTTCCCGGACAGTTTTCACACTGCGAGCAGAAAGTGTCCGGCTTTCCACACCTATAGCAGAATATTTTCCGCTCCTTGGACAGGCAGTCTCTAAAGACGTGGTCGAACTGTCTGCAGTTCCAGCATACAATTCGGGATGAGTTCCTGCTTCGCACGAATGCCTCCTCCAGTTCTCCCGGTGGCGTTTCTGTAAGATGCGGTGGAACTTCAACCTCGTGGACTACGGGCCTCGTTCCTTGTGGACAACGCGACGGCTGAAGGTACCCAGTCCGGCTTCTGCGACCCATGTGCCTCTCCACTTCTAGGCACTCTTGGCGCAGCTCATCCACGGTGAGTACGTCCATGGCATAAATATATTTCGCCAGACTTTCTTTTAAACCACGCTTTATAATCCTCACCAGCTCTCGGTCTCTCAGCGGCTTCTGGAATCGCGCGGCGAGTTGACGCAGGTGGTGGATATAATCATCCACTCCTTCGCTGGCCTGTTGCTCTCGTTGTAGAAGCTCCTGCATTACCTCGTGTTCCGTCTGGTAGCCCCGGAACCTGTCCAAGAGGGCAGGCCGCAGTTGCATCCAGCTGTCGACCCTAGAATGCCGCACGTGCATCCAGTACCACTCGCGGGCGCGGCCGGTCAGGAGCAGGTGGAAACCGCGCAGGACCTCCTTCCACGGGCACTGATACTGCCTCTGCAGGAACTCTAGGCGGAACACGAAGTCCTCGACCGAATTCATCGCGTCCTCGCCGTCAAACTTGACGTTCCACCGCTCGAGCTTCATGTACGCAGTTTCTCGCACGTTGGCGTACGCCTCCTCCGGTTGAAAATCATCCGCTCTCCGGTCCTCTACTCGGAAATGGCGGTTATTCGGGTTACGCCAGTTCCTCGACTGAGCATCTGCCACGTAAACTGGGCTGCTGGACGAATACTCCGCCCCTCGTGCGCCTTGCCTACGTGGCTTCGGTGGCACCGGTGGTGGAAATGCCTCGCGCTGGAACACTTCCCGTTCTTTCGGGATGGCGCCTGTTCGCGGTCCCGGCTCGACATGTCTTGGCGGCTTCGGCGCAGTGTTAGTCTCGGCGGTTTGGCTCCCTGGCGGCCTAAGCACATCAATGATGCCCTTCATCATTTCCATGAAGCCAGCTCGCATCTCCTCGCGGATGGACTCGCTGATGCCAGATGGCAGAGCATGCAGATATGTTTGGTGGGCCTGAGCGATCGCCGCGTTTGCCGCCGATTTGAGCACTGAGTCTTTCGGGGCTTTTGGGAACTCCAGGTTCCGTGGAGGTCTATCCTGTTGCGCCAATTCTTTCTCCAAGTCTACCAGGTGACCCTCTTTCGGGATCTGTCTCTCTGGAAATCCCCGGAAATTCATTGGCGTTCGCACCAGCCCTCCAGCTGGGCGCGGCGGTGGCAGAGCCGACGCCCCATCAGCGTCAGAAGCCCAATCAGACACCTGTTCCTCAGCCATACTTATCCCTTCTGAGAACAGTACCCCTCTCTTCTACAAGGCTTACAACCCTTATAAAAACTTTACTAATATTTCTAATAAATTAATAAATAAATAAACACCCACTAACAAATCTTACTAATAAAGAATAATAAATTAATACACATCGACCACAAAAACACTCACAAAATTAAATTTTTTTTTCTTTCTAATTAATTTCAAATACTTGGGGGAGAGAAGACAAATCCTAACACAGGCTAAATAATCTACGCATAATCTGGACAGTGGACAACACTTAAGCATTCGTCCCATGCTCAGTTCGTCAGTTTGACTGACGGACGGCATGCAAGGAACGCTACCTTGAAGGCTATTTGGTTTCTGTCGCACTTCTGTGCACCCTTAGAGTATGCTGTGTGACAGGTGCGGCGCAGGATCGGCTCTATATCGTCCTGGGTCACCTGCCTCCGAAGCTCATTTAACTACGGCCAGCACACACCAAACGTTAACACAGAGTGGGACAAAACAAATAGAAAACATTAAACAAACTCTAGTCAGACCTACCCTAATATCACATTTCGTCACAGGTTATTTTGTCATGGCGGCTACCACCAGGCTACGATTGACGGTCGCGAACGTTCACCAACTAGCAAACGTGACTTACCGTCATCAACCGCGACAAGAAAACACCCCATGTCAATGGACACCATGGCAAGATCCGTCTCCGTCGCTCTTCTGGCCATTCTTGGGATATGCTGTGTGACAGATGCGGCGCAGGCTCGGCTCTATATCGTCCTGGGTCACCGGTCTCCGAAGCTCGTATAACTACGGCCAGCATACATCCAACATTGACACAAAATGAGACAAAAACAACTAATTGAATAAATAACATCTGACTAAACTACCCTAATATCACATTTTTTTTACCATGAGATGCCTTTGTCGTTGCGGCTACCACCAGGCGAACGATGGATAGTCGCAAATGTTTCGCCAACATGCGAACGGCCATCAACCACTACAAAAAAAAACCCCTCATGCTTATGGATGGATATTCAGATAACCTCTACTTCCGTCGTGCTTCTCGGATTCCACTACACGCTGCGCGATTATGAGCTACCTACTCGTGCCACATAAGACTTCAGCGGTGTGGGTCCTGAAGCCAAGGGAGTCCTTTCCTCTGTACCTTCATTTTTATCGTATTTATTTTTCTTTGATTACACACCGACTTCAAAGAAGCCGAGTGCTTCTTCAAATTGGGCGCCATATTGTTAGGGAACTGCTTGTTTCTCAGTGGGCCGCGCCGGCTGGCTCATCGGATTCTCTGGGTGTGGTCCCATCCCTGGCCCGCAGTCCGCACAATCGATAACAACAAAGCTACACGTCTGTAGCAAAACAGACTCACACAACACTACTCAAAATGAACCGCATAATCGATAACAAATATTCGGAACTACTAACTCATGAACAAAATACACAGCTGTAACAACTATGAAAATGTAAACAACAAAGGTAAGACACTCAATATAAATTAACAAAAAAAACACTATTTATCCACCTTACTCTTCCAGATCGGGCCCCGGTTCCGGACCCAGCGTACCCGCCCTACCATGAGACGATCACCTCCACTCGTCTCCCTCATTTTGGCCACCAAATGGCCTATATTAGCCCGTGTCGGCCATAATGCCCACTCTCCCCAGCAATATTATTTTAGCCGGACATGATTTCTTTCAATAGGTGCGTATAATTGGTTGCGTTTTCTTAAAATGTATAACAATCATAATCATTGCTTATGGCATTTATCTTGCAGCTGTTTAGGATCTCATGCAAGCGGATAATTCATTAACTTCACAGGTGCGTATTACTGCTGCATATATTTATACTAATTGACACAGCGCATTAATTCCTAAATTTTTCTCTTATCTTATAGAATTAATTTTTTTTATTTTTTTAAAACACTGAATGGAACAGGCGACGAAACACTACAAGGATATTGCTAGTCGCCGCAAAAGAAACGCGCAATGAGGCACTTTAGAGGCAATCGTTGCCCCGATTTAGGAACAATGGCCCGCACACTTACTTAAAACTGGGTATGTCACGTATTGTGTATTGTATGTATTAAATCGCTTAATTCTACCTTACCCTACCTAAAGAGCTCTCTGGGGGTGGTAAGGGGCGATATAAATGCGTAAATTCAAATTAGGTAAGTATGTGAGCATAGTTCGCGCAAGGGTTAATTTTAGATTTTTTTTTTTATATTTTACAGGCGCAGATGCATCACCGTTGGAGTTTTCCTCACCGTTCGCACTCTAAAGTGAAGCTCGGCGTAAGTGCCTATGTATGTATGAATATATTTTATAAATACAAATTAACCGAATTTAACGATAAAAAAAAATCTACTCCTTTCCAGGGATGGGACCACACCCAGAGAATCCGATGAGCCAGCCGGCGCGGCCCACTGAGAAACAAGCAGTTCCGTAACACAGTTTTCGATGTGACTCAATATTTTTCTTTTCACGTTCGGGAACCAGTAAGTTTTAACAATCGCGTTTAACGTCTTGTCCCTAACAATATGCCCAAGTTCGTCGTGGTTTTTAATTAATATTTTCTGGCACATAGAAATGTAATCTTTTGTCATTCGTCCTTTTATATATTACTCCATTTCTCATTTCAAAGAATTTAAGCTCACCTACCTCCAACAATTTCCTAATATCCATTGTTTTCTCGTTTCTTGTTTGACATATTACTAAATTGGTTTCCAAGTTATTTGCTTCCGTTATCATAATCGTGTTATGACATCTCGACAATGCATGAACGTGTGGCATTTGCTTACCTGCTCTATGCATCTCATAATCGAATTCTTGTAGCTCTAACGCCCATCTTGCAATTTTGGGATTAAGGTCAATCTTGTTCAAGGTCAGTGTCAGTGAATTGCAATCAGATATGAATGTGAACCGTTTCCCTTGCGCGTATATCCAGCATCTTCGTAATGCATATATAATGGCTAAGGTCTCCAGCTCAACGCTGTGATGTTTCGCTTTCGTGAAATAAAATATCGGATGCAATCTAACATCTTGTTTGCATCAATACTGCTCCAAATCCTAAGGCACCAGCATCACAATGTAACTCAATTTCATCTCTGTGATCATAAATTTATAGTACTGGTGCTTTTAACAATCTCTGCTTAAGATACACAAAACATCTTAGCTCGTTTTCCCCAAACTGTACTATTTTGCCTTTTCTCAATAAATCATGTTAAGGTTTTGCGATTGTTGAGAAATCCTTAATAAATCTCCCAAAGTACACGCAAAGTCCCAAAAAACGTTGAACTGCTTAAATTTTATCTGGTATCGGAAAATTGTTTATCGCCTCCGAACCTTTTGCATCGGCTTTCCTGCCGTCTTCGTAGACTTCGAACCTTAAATATTTTATATGGTCTTGTATAAAATTACATTTATCCAGCCTCAACTCTAACTCATTGTCTACTAAACGCTTAAACACTACCTTTAGGGTTTCTAAGTACTCGTGAGTATTCCTGCCGGCAATCATAATAACATCCATGTATACAATTATATTATCCCTTATCATGTCCGAAAAGATGTTATTAATAAATTTTTGAAATTCTTGAGAGGCCGTTTTCAATCCCATGGGCATTCTTCAAAATTCAAATTGTCCTAAAAGGGTCACGAAAGATGTGTTTAATTGATTCCTTCTCAGTAAAAACGTGAAAATAGCCGTTTTTCATATCAAGTTTAGTAAATATGGTTTTACCTGCAAGCCTATCTAACACGTCGATTAAAGGCAACGGATAATTGTCTTTAATCGTGATCTTTTTTAGACTTCTGAAGGCAATAAACATTCTCAAATCATCGGTGTACTTCTTAACTAAAACGATTGCAGAAGCATAATATTAGCTACTGGGTTGGATGTTCCATTTCTAAGGTATTCGTCTAACATTATTTGTAATTTCTCTTTTCTGTGTACGATAATCGCCTTGGCAAGCAACTAAGTGGCTTCGCTTTCTCGACTGTAATCTATATTTCGTATCTATCTAGTCTCTTTGCCTTTGTGTATGTAGCATCTAGCATCTGTATAAATTTGTTTCTTAATGCATACTCTACCTGCTTATCAATGTTATAAACCTTTTCACTAACTTCTGTATCTATATCATTTTAATTAAAAATCCTATTCTAAAATTTTAAAATCCTCTCTATTAATTGTGTCCACCTCTGTTCCTTTCTCCTTTTTCTCCTTTTCTAACGATTTATCTAACAGTTTTTTATCTAACGATCTACGACCACACAGTTCTCTGTTATTAATTCGTAACCTAACAATTTGTCGTTGACTGCTAGCAATTTATCTTCTAACAACATGTTTCTTAACAATTTATCGTCTAACAATTTATATTCCAACAATTTATTTTTCGTTAATTTTTCTGCTAAGTCTTGGGCATGACGGACATTACCGTTGTGTCTGTAGTTGTTGTTATTATTATTATTATTATTTGAGGCGTTGTTTCCATTATTGTAATCTCCGTTTAGGCGGTTGTTACCTCTATAGTTTCCACGTCCTCTATTCTTGTAATTATTGTTGTTATTATTTTTATAATTGTTATTATAACCACGAGAGTTTTCTCTGCCTCGGTAATTACCACGATAGTTATGTAGGAGCCGTTACAATACAAAAGTTTTTAGCTTCAGCAAGTCCAAAACACGTCTACTTTACTCGCTTCTCTGCTAAGGTCTGACTCCAAGATCTTTTACAATTGTCTAACACTCTTCTTCTTCTTATTTCTTATTCTTAGTTATCGAACAATACCTAACAGCTACCTATGGATAGGACGTGCAGCTTCACTGTTGTGTTGCTAGCAGCCTGCTACAGTTATTACAATACAAGAATACAATACCGAGCATGCATTGCCTGTCATAACTATACTGTATTGGATATATTTTGTGCATCGTTTTGAATGTGCCTGCGTAAAGTATTGCTTTTAGTTTGTCATGCTCACAATTTTGATCATGACTGAAATGGCTTCTTTGGTACAGAACGTATCAGCATGTTCTGCCTTTCGTCCTTCATCGATATAAGAAGATTCCAAATTATCGATTTAGTTTGCGAGTTGTGTGGCTAATTTACATTTTTGGTAGAAATAAGCCGTTTTTGCCTCTACTACATCGGAAAATCGCCGAAAATCATAGTCTGCAATTTAGATAGCATCGCGTTTATTGTGATTTCATCTTGTATTTTATAAAGAGTTGAACCAACTATTTTGGATTTTATTACTTCAATTACAATTTCTTCGTATGGACCTTATGTTAGGTTTATTAATTGTATTGCAGCAATAAATTTGTAGATGGATTTTATTCCATCGATTTCCAGTGTGGCCTGTACAATTTCTTTTATGGAAGCCCTTGAGGCGGCAGAAGTGTCTTCCATCGTAATAGGTTTTAATTCTATTACACTGGTGTTTGCTTCAGAATCAGAACACTCTGACAATTCAGGTAATGCAATTATCGCTGAAGTTGTAAGATTATGTGTGTCTTTAACTTCTAGTTCCATGTCAGTGACTGTATCAGATTCACTTTCTTTCTTTTCTTTATCTTCAGGCTGTTTAGCTGTTTCGATTGTTAAAGCTGTGTTCAGTATAGTTGGAATCGATTTATCCAAATTATTCTTTACTCTTATCGCAACTTAATTTATTCGAAATTTGGTTAAGACCTTTGAGGCTTGTGACAAATGTTGATTGGTTATCTTTCTCTATGGTCGAATATAATGTTCATGCTTCATTTAAAAACCTTACTAATATATTTGCGTGTTTGTTTTTTGTACTTTGCTGTGTTTCTTTGTATTGCGTTAGACATTTATATGGTTTGTCAAATTTTGATCTTATTTCTTTGATTTGCGGACAATTTTGTGTGTTATTATTTGATTTGGACACTATCATTTCATTCATGGCTCTAATGAATGTTATCAATTAAAACATTAATGTAACGTCTCGTATCTTTTTATACCCTGAACCCATTAAAAATGGATATAGGGCTATATTGTATATGTGCAAAATCCAAATGTATGTAACAGGCAGAAGGAAGCATCTCCGACCCCATAAAATACATATATTCTTGATCAGCATCAAGAGGCGAGTCGATCTAGCCATGAACGCCTGTCTATCCGTCCGTCTGTCTGTCCGTCCGTCCGTATGTATGAACGCAAGTAACTCAGAACCTATAAGAATTAGAGACTTGAAATGTAGGTGCACCTAGTGCCTGCGCAGATCGAGTTTGTTTCCGATAATCGATAAGTTTTTCCGTTTCGATATCCTGTTTGTTGGGCAATTTTGGTAAAAAATAAGAGCTAGAGTCACCAAACTTGACATATAGCTTCTAAAATAGAATATATATATGAATTTGATGTTGGAAGAAGAGGGTTCAGGGTATCCCCTAGTCGGGAGCTCCCGACTAGAACCTCTTACCTGTTTTTCTTTTAATAATTTTATTTTATTTTACACACATAGTGAGGAAAAATTGAGCTTGTAATATAAATGTTAAAATCCACAGAGCTTGAATGTTCTCTGTGTGATCAACTTTTTTTACTTTATTGACCACAAAGGCTGTATTATCTTTTGTTTGACTATCATCTGAGCCACACGAACCCATTTTCAAATTTATTATATTCTTAGAACTGGTTACAAATATATATTCTCTTTAATTGTGTCTTGCATTAATTTTTGTTAAAGCAATTTTTTTTCACAATCTGGATGTTTCTATATAACATTTGCCTACCTATGTTTTGGTATAGCTTAACGGGCTACATTTCTAATCGGGCAGAATTGATTTCGCTCAATTTTACAAAATTTATTTATATGTTTGGTGTATGTAAGTTATAAAAGTTTAGCTTAATCTGCTGCTCAACATCTACATTAGCACTGCGTCGCCGGATGTGGCACGCTGATGCTCCCTCAATTATTATTATTATTTTTATTATTATTATTATTCATATTATTATTATTATTATTATTATTATCCATATTATTATTAATATTATTATTATTATTATTACTATTATTATTATTTTTCATATTATTATTATTATTATTTGAGACGTTGTTTCCATTTTTGTAATCTCCGTTTTGGCAGTTGTGAGACGGCCACTAAGGTAGCCACCCCACAGTTCATAATTATAATAAAAGGATATAAGCATTGTATAGTATATAAGCATTGTATTAGTAATAAGAACAGTTAAGGCAAGGTGCTAATGTATTGAAGCTACTTAAGGTCATGGAGCCTAGTTTGAATTGAGTTTGAACTTAACCGCCGGCCGTCGCAGAAACCTTGCGTTGCTGATTTGTTGCTCAACACCGCGTTCGAGAGCACAACTACAATTCAGTGGCGAAGGGCAAGGTGTAGTTGCGAAAGCTTGCGGGGAACTCGAGCGGCCGAGGCAAGCGCCCTGCTCGCTAGCGAGCGTGCTGGCACTTT